TGCGGTAAGTCTTTGCTGCCTCCTGCATGACGTCCTGTTCGCGTTCACATAAACCTACTCCTTGTTAAAATTATAACTTCATTTCGCTCATATAAAGTCGAGTTATCCTGCACCGAATTTGCATTGGGAGAGGGACACATGTCGCGAGAAGAAAAAGTCCCTCACGGACATCTACAAAAAAAAGCGCAATTCTTGTACTGAGGCGCGTGACTGTTGCAACTGCCCGCGCAGAACACCCCCCCCCCCCCCACCCTCCTCTCCCCTTAATCTTTCTTTTCACAAAGTCTCCTACTGCCGCTCAAGTCTAGAGTTGGCTTCAACTCAGATTCACAGATGGTGCGAACATTAAGGCACGTATGCACATACATCCCCGCGGGGAGGGGAGGGGATCTGAGAGGGGAAGCGTCATATCTCGCTAATCTATATACCTTTCTTCTTCTTTCTCTGTCTTACTTTTGAAGGCTCTCATACACTGATACTCCTTGCGCATAATGGATGCCAGGTTACCCATACAAGATTAGATATTCATTATTTCGTCTGATCCCCGTGGGGATCCCCAGGGGATCACCCACTCTTTCAAAGTCATTTTTGTTCCTGAAAACTCAATGAAAATGCTCTAAAATTGTACTGAGGATTATACTACGGCACTGCTAAACATGATTATGGCAGAAATGAGTGAAATCTCAAGAAATTAAAATCTTCGATGAACCGCTGCTCGCGAGTCAGGGATTATCGAAAAGATCAAAATCTTCAAATTCCATTTCTTCTGTCGAAAACATGCTCATCAGTATCGTAGTATATCGCTCAGTATGTACAATTTTGCAGCGTTTTCATTGATTTTTCGGGAAGGTAAATGACTTTGAAAAAGTGAGGTGATCCCCTGGGGATCCCCAGGGGATTAGAAGAAATAGTGAATATCTAATCTTGTATGGCAGTAACCTGGCATCCGTTATGCGCAGGTATCAGTATATAAGAAACTTCATAAGCAAGATAAAGAAAGAAGGAGAAAGATATGTGTAGACTAGCGAGATAAGACGCTTCCCCTCTCAGATCCCCTCCCCTCCCCGCGGGGATGTATGTGCATACGTGCCTTAATGTTCGCACCATACTGTGAATCCGAGTTGAAGCCAACTCTAGACTTGAGCGGCAGTAGGAGACTTTGTGACAAGAAAGATTAAGGAGAGAGGAGGGTGGGGGGGGGGGGTGTTCTGCGCGGGCAGTTGCAACAGTCACGCACCTCAGTACAAGAATTGCGCTTTTTTTTGTAGATGTCCGTGAGGGACTTCTTCTTCTCGCGACATGTGCCCCTCTCCCAATGCAAATTCGGTGCAGGATTACTCGACTTTATATGAGCGAAATGAAGTTATAATTTTAACAAGGAGTAGTTTTATGTGGACGCGAACACACTTTCCATGAAGACACCGTCTATCAGGAATCTCACCTTCCATGTTTTGTTGTTCCCGGGCCTTCTCATGTAACTGATTCCCAATGTGGAGTCGAGAATTCACGAGAACCCTTATAACCCGGTTCCGGAGACCCCACGGGACAGGTCCTCGGAACGGCGATTAATTGGGCATGCACGAATGGGCGGGGATATACGTGCATAAGGACCTAAGTGCTCTTCTTTACTGGATTGAGATAGAAACCTCAAGAAGGCTTACAATCACCAGCAGTATCTGAGCAATAGCTCAATTTTTGCAGATTCATTCACGTGGGGATATCCGCAGCGCTGAATCTGTCCACGCTACAAAGCGTTAAAACGGGAAGAAAATGCGTCTCTTAGAGCTTTACAAATTGAATTTGAACGAGTGGAACTTCCTTTAAAGCTGAGATGCAGAGTTGCTATGAGACCCTACAGCTTATACTGTGGCGAGTTGCGTACGTTGTGCAAAGCAAGAAATCCGCAATAGAGAGGCCAGCTCCGGACGTAAATTGTCCAGCTTTCCGAACGTACTTCTTGCCTGGTCAAACGTGATGGCCGCGCAAGTGCACGGTGGCGTGCCCGAGAGGTTGGCTTTCATATGGCATTGAAAAAAGACCTCCAACCTTGTCTTCTTTCGAGGGCCATGTTTTCCCGCAAAAAATCAAAACAGATGGAAACTCTTAGGCCTGGGCAGAGTTCACGCGAGTTCCACGGCAGTTTTCGCGATTAACCAAACACAAGACAACAGAAATCCATCGCATGTCGATCATCTTGAATTGAATTTCGGTTGTGAAAGTTAGTCACGATTAGTCGTGTCGGAAAACTATCACAACCAAAATGAAAGATGATCGGCATGTAATGGGCTCGTAACTGTTGTCAACTTCGAGGCCTTACAGTTAGGCCAATCTTCGCTGTCCTTGAATATGCTGCTGCACTCTACCGCACAATACTTCTTTCATGACTTTCACGACTTTATTTACTTACTTCTTTCATCTATTATAATGCTGGGGACTGGAGCTCCCAGCATTAAGACCGTTCCAAACAGAGCTCCTACCATGATTCCATCGCATTGAAAATTGATTCGCACCATATCTAAATCTGAATAGAAACCAGCATTCAAGAACGGCACGTAAATGTCGGGAAAAGAGGGTTCTAACGATCAAAGAGCGCAAATAAGTTTTTTGGACCCAGACGTACATTTATCATAGACAGTGTCCTAGAATAGGAAACCGTATAGCGAAGTAATCGAAGGTGTGTACGTTGCAAACGAACACACAAACATAAATAGTGTGACTACAACAGCCCCGCGTAGTGCAACTGCAACAATACGCGCTGCTGTTTCTTTCTTTATTAGCCGCAAATCGCCAATCAACAATGCTTGTGCTTTTCATAAGTTTTTTTTACTAATCAACGAGAACTTAGACTTTACTTTTGTCTATATATGCCAGGAGGCCACTCCATACGTAATGCTGTAGTTGCTGCTATGGTCTGTCGCCCTTAGGTCCCGAACATAACCTTTGATTCAACTGGCTTGACTCCGTTAGGGCGAGGTTTTGTGATCTAATTGAGGCCGCTCGCGCCCGCAACGCAACTGCGTCTCTCTCGCGCGAGTGCTCTCTGATCACTAGCTAGCCTTAGTTAGGTCACGAAGCCCCGCCTTCCCGAAGGCCAAGCCAGTTGCATCAAATGTTATATTCCATGATTTCGATTCTGCAATTTGTCATTTTGCCAAACATCTTGAGATCCAACATCGTTAGACTACAAAATCATGACTTATAATAACGGGCTAGGGGTGTTTACGTGTTTTTGTGCGTCTGCCTGTCTGTCTGTCTATCTGTAACGAAATTCACAGAACGAGTCACAGAAGGTTTCAAGCCGCAATTTTTTGCACAACCCGCACTGCCACCACCAGATTCAGCACGCAAGCACGACTAGATCCACTAGGTAGGTCTCTCAAAAATCGCACCGCAAGCGAATCCACTTAACGTCTGACGCGCGATGTTGGGTCCATATTACCACTTGTTGCAAAGTCGTGAATATGTTTGGCAAGTGACACGAAAAGTGATGGAAATATATACGAAAAAGACGCCAAAACCAATTATTTGCATAAATGGCCAATTTGCCAGGTTTTTACCTGAGCATTTGAGAAAATTTTTGCACAGGGATGTAGCTCGCCGTGGATATTATCCTTATGGCGAGTACCAAGCCATGTAAGTGTAAGTGTAAGCCAAAGTGTTCCAATTCTGCATATGTTCTTCATCTTCCAAAGTTTCATCTATGCAAAATCGATCTCACATGAAAAAACTTTCGCAATCAGTGGTTGTTTATGTTTCATTCGTGAAGACGGGCATTGCGCGGTATGTTTCAATACCATGTTATGCGGTAATGAGTATGTCATATAGATAGAAGAGCTAGTGCGAGCCTCTCGAAGCAGAGGTGACGCACTGGTAGTGTGTATAAAACTCTAGACTGATAAGATTCTCCTATTCTCTATACATATATTTGTTAGGTCCTAGCATAAGTTTTGTTACATTTTTCATGAACACTGAAAACTCGAAACTTTGGCAAAGCTAGTAGGCACATGTGGTTAATGGACAAATAAGTATTTGTTGCATCATTTTCACTCTAGGTAGGTTACTGTTAATATAAAGGCAATTCGGTACGCACTTCAACCTCCAATTTTTCTTTACCTATCGCGACCTCTTAGCAGGGGGTGGGGTAGCTGGAGCGCCAAGAGAAGCTCTCGGGAGTACGGAGCCGTCGACGAGAGGCGGATCTCCTCTACCTTAGATAAGAGAGCCTGGAACCGTACTGGGAGGTCAAATCGAGCTAGAGCCCCATTATTTACATAGCGCTGAGTTCTTGTTGCTATTAGTTTCGTGCCATTCAAGATAAATCATCTTGTACTCAACCCCGTGCTCTTCATAAATTAGTTAATATCGAGATGTACCACCGACCATCCCCATTACGCCATTCTTTTTTCATGCTCCTAGATTTTATTTCCGGAGACATTAGTATGAAGGCATACGAAGGCTATTTGAAGATCTAAATTCTTCGTTCCCAATTTGCCAGAAACAAGTCGAAATTTCAAAAAATAAAAAAATAATTTTTCATGTGTGACATGCATTTATCAAAAAGTAACCCTTCTCGTAATCTGCAGATGAGAGAGAACTTTTTGAAAACGGTGTGAAGATTGTTTTTGCAGTGTAAGGAAACTTATGTTAACTAAAGTGCGCTTACGATGAGTTATAAACAATTGAAGTATAGCCCTCGCGGCGACTGAAATGCGTAAAATACGCGCTACAAAGGTTGTAAGTTGAACACACTCCACCGAGGGCGAGGCGCAAAGCGATTGTCGGAGATTTGAGAGTAGGGTCAAAAATGTGCGCATGTGATGCGCCGTACGTGTACAAAGACCTGGTGAACGGCATGTTCTCTGTGTGATGGACTGAGCGCAAAGTCTGTGGCAAAGTTTTTGCTTTATTCTCAAATGTCATTACAAAGCCATTTAGACCTACTTATAACTTGCAACGCTTTTCGAACACAAAAGAGGATTCAACGTATGCATATATTTTAGACGACTTCTTCGAGAGATCAGTAAAATGGATCCCATCGGGAGGAGCCGGCCTCGTCTCGGGTAGGGGTAACTTTAGGCCCGGATTCACTGGAAGGGACTGGAGGAGCGCTCTAGCAGAACCAAACTTCAAGAAGGTAACCACATTTGAATTTGGAATTAGATTGATGAAAAAAGGGATAGGACAACGACTTTCACCATTTTGGGCCGCTTGCTTGAACTCCTCCAAGATATGCAACAGCACGCGAAAGAACCACTTGCCATCTGCAAGGGCAGACATGGCTGAGTTCGTTTCTTCCCTACCCATAAGAAACGGGATCTGAGGTTCCCCTCTATTGTGACAATTGAAGGCTGGGCTGATATTAGTGATAGTGAACAAATCTTGTGTAAAAGAACCATATTTTTAGAGATCTGTGGCCTCTTATTTCAACGACGACTACTAGAAACGCAGAAGAACCGAGGAGGGAGGAGGAAACAATATTCTGCTATTAGTCTGATCTCTACATAAGCTCATTCTATGTTGAATAAAATGTTCGATGTTACCGTATACGAAAAGATGTTTCGGTACTCAATGTCACAGACTTTTTGCTTGCCTATACTATCGTCTAGGGTCGCAACATAAAAGTTTACCACAATAAACTTTGCATCCTACAGGCAAAGTAATCGGCTACAATTTGCGAAGTATCGAGTCTTACCACGGATGCTCTCTCAACCTTGTTGTCAACACTTTTTTCTAATCACGAAAGTCTGAGTGAGTTACTAAATGCTTACAGATACATGTCATTACAGTACTTGAGGACAAGATGCGAAAGCAAGGTTGCTTCAGAGAAAGGCCGGGACATATGTGTTTGTAGCAGGGTCAAGCGTGTGATGCGACTGTCGCAACGGGTCGTAAAGGGGACACCGGAGGGGGGGGGGGTTGTAAGAGAGGGCGGTCCAAATAAGAAAAAGTGTAAAACGTGGGAAATAAGCTTCTCAGTCGCAAACATCCTTTACTCTTCAAAAACAGCATTTTTCTCCCTGCAAAAAAAGTGTCGCAGACGGGGATCGAACTTGCTGGCTACAGGTATGACCGAAGATTCAAAAGTCACTCTCAGGCTCAAAGACTAGGCATGCATGTGTGACAAGAATGTTAAATGTACCAATTGGCTTGGAAATCCTGGTTCCGAAGCACCGCTGAAGTCTCACACACTCACGAAAGCACTCATCTCTACCAGCGATGACCATCGATATTTTGTTTTTGTAATGTCTTTCAAGAGCGCATACAACTTACGGGTGCGGGAATTTATCTACCCAGAGAGGTGTGCCGCCATGTAATTATCAGGGGACATGAGAGGTCATGAACTGTCAGCAACGCTAATTTGCACCGAAGATAAGCAGATTTTGCTCACGACAGAATGACATCATCCTCAGTGTACGAAATCGGGATTTCAATGAAATTTGAATTAATGTTCAGTGGTGAAATTAGTCCAACTAAGTAAAAATTTGTATCAAGGGGTAATCTACCATCCTGGTTCCAAATATGATGGTGGTTTTGCGTTAAACTCAAAAAATTTTCTTTTTAAATTCTAATCTTGTTTTCATATATGGCAAAAAGCTTAAAATTCCATTTGAGGGTTTTCCATGATGCTGATTTCGAATATGCTAATGTTTTCGCCAGAAACTTCAAAAACTTTTCCTTTTGAAATTTTGACTTTTTCATAAATTTTACTGCACTTTTGATAAAACTGGAAGGCAAATGAAAAAGTATGCTACTTTCAGAAAGACTAGAAAAAATGATACTAACTACGAAATAAAATTTGAAATAAGGTAAGAAAAAATTCAGTGAAGCTGAAGCTAAGTCTGAAGGATTGGAAAAGATTCCCAGCTATCAAATTATTCTGCACTTTCCATGCACATTCAATCATCAATCAGCTTACGTGACCGGTACCAACACTTGCGAAAAGTTGTTCATAAAGAACACAAAAATTTTGACAAAATTGCTGAAAATTTTGCATTCGGTGTTCAGAACTTAATTTGGAAAAAGGATTTGAGAACTTTGTACTAAACCGTAATCATATTCGTAAAGAGCGCCCTTAGAAACCCTCAAATCAAAGTTTTTATTCTGTTTTGCATATCGCCATTGAACATTGATTTTAATCCCATCACGAAGCTCGGCTTCGCTTTCACGCAAAACCACCATCTAAGTTTTTCATCGCATCTAAATTTTTTCGAGCTTACTCCTCTTCAAGGGATGAAGCTTTTTGTATGAATAGTCTGGGCACTATGCTACAGAACCTGTGCTTTGCAGCCTCTCAGACTTTTCCTGGCCTTAGTTACGAATTTTCAAACTACCGTGCTCATGCACGTTTTTGACGTCGTTGTGGACGGCGCTAAAGCGGTTTTTTCCGCAGGAAAAACTGTGGAAGAGGGAGGAATTAAGCTTTTCAATCGAAAACATCTTTTGTAGTTCAAGAATGTCATCTTTTTTCTCCTGCAAAAATTTGTGTCACATACGGGAATCGAATTTGCTGGTCTGAAGTATGCCTGAAAATTCAAAAAATATGCAGAATCTCAAACATTATTGAAGGTGCGTATGCGTGCTACAGTTGCTAAGCGCATCCACTGGCCTAGAATTTCTGCTTCCGAAACCTCACTGAAGTTCTCAGCAGGTATTTTTTGAGATTGACATTCGCTTATGCAGGTTATCGCGAAGAATGTGGACAGGGGAGGTAAGGGGGATAGATGGAGGAAGGTAGGGGAGGGGGAGGGGGGAGGGAAGCGGGGTCGTACGGATGGGTACCTTCAAGGGGGGGGGGTCGTAAATGAGGGTCCCGGATCGCATCAACACGCTTGACCCTGGTTTGTAGGCAGGGGAAGACGAAACAGACATAAAAGTCGTTAAAGGCAGCGTCCGGGCAAAATTTCGCCTCTCATGTTTCTGCCATTCTGGGGCCTTTCCGTGGCCCTGATTACAGTTGTCAAGTACAAGTTGTTCAAAGCTCCCAAAAAACCCGGTTCTTGGGGACCCTCTCTTCATGGAGCGGACGAGTTCCGAATTGCTCGTCCCCATCGTCATGCCAGCGGGAGGAGCTGCAACTGCACGGATGCAGTTGCATTGCAGAGTGCAGTGCCAGTTGCATCGCAGTGCATTGCAACTGCAATGCAACCGCACACCTGCGTAAGCACTCATCCTCAGGGGTGGTTTGTCATACGAAGGGGCGGCTTGTGATACGTATCACAGGCCCGTATCTCCTTTTAGAGGGCACGTCAAAGGATTGGACCAGCGTAGATCACGCCAGCATAAGCAGCAAGATGATGCAACGCTTCAAATTTGTTCCTAAGATTGAATTAGGCTGTTCTTCTGGTAGTTTTGCTAGAAAATTCCTGACTTTGATTCTGATCATATGTGCTCAAAAACAAAACAGCTCATATTTCTTAAATGGCACACTGTAAGAAAATTAGCCAAGGATGTTTCATTACGTAAACTTTCATAGATTTTACATAATGTTCTCTCAAAGAAAGCTTACATTTAAAAGTTCAAATAATTTATTGTAGGAGTATTTACTCTCATCACATGATAGATGGCAAGACAAACAACAATGATTAATCCGAAGCTTGTATATTCAAGAAACCTGTGTAATTGAGTTGTTCTGTCCAGAAAATAAAACGCAAATGCTAAGTTTCTTTTTTTACAGCGCGAGAAAAATTTGTGCATCTGGTATGAAACATTTCATATAAACTTATTAGCTTCCTTAGACAATCAATGCCTAGCCACGAGACAAAATGGAATCAATTTGACCCTTCCACAAAATATGAGGAATGTGAACGGAACTGCTCAGCTGTTTGAAGCAAATAAAGTGGAGTGCGGCATTTTAACAAAAACATGCAATATCCCAGAAAACAACATAATAGCGGTGTAATTAACAATCATACACTATCACTTGTTGTTGAGAATAGTACGTTGCAATACCCATAAAGGTCCTAAAAGTTGTAGTCACTTCAAATACGTTCAAAGACATGCACATCTTGTGTTGGGAAAAACAAGGAAACGTTGACATTAAACCATGTACATAACCGCTGGACAATGGTAGACTTCGTACAGCAAGTAATGCTTCGTTTTCAACTAGTCTGATTGGAAAAATCCTTCCATCTTTCTCTGGAACGAAATGCTATTTAAAACACATAGCTTAGTTCAGTAGACCAAATGAAAAGGACACATTTGGTCTAGCTGTTTAGTTAGTTCTACTTTAACTGCTACAATCTTTGAGGTAGAATATGAAGCTTCAAATCATAAAAACCATTTGCTTATATTCACTATTGTACTAAACAAAATCAGAGTGCATAAGTTTGAGGTAACATAGCAATCATTTCGACAAGGCAGTCCAAAAAAGTGCGTGGCTGGCAAGATAGCCCGCGCAGAGTTTATGACTAGCAATACCACTGAAATCCCTATTCGTTTTCCGGGTGTGCTAGATGTTCATTAAACACATTGAACCTGCTGAACCCTTCGCTAGCACAACTGAACTGGGTTGACCTCTCAGAAGAACTGTAAGTTAGAGCTACAACAGCCCACCCTCTTCTTTGAGAAGGCAAGTTCAATATTAGAAGATCATGCGATCATGTGCCGCATTAAGTTTACCGCGCTACCTATAGGAAGGTAGGAATTTCGATCAATTGTTAGCCCCTCTTGAGCGATAGTCGCGCATTGGGTGGTTCTATAAGTTCGTAGCGTTTTTATAAACCAACAAAATCATCAAATTACAGTAAAAAATCAAAATTATATTCCTCGTTGTAGCGCACGACCTTTTGGCACATTCAAGTCAGCTTCAATCGCAATTTTTCAAACGGCAGCGCCGGGTCCCAGGGAGTCATCTAATCAGCCTCAAACTACTTACTATAATTGAGACATGCACCACTTATGAGGTCTGCTGGAGAATGGAGCAAATGATAATTTGGCAGAGCGAGATTTGGAGAGTACGTTGGGTACTAGAGTGTCTTCCAGTCAAATTGTGCAGGACAGTTAGACGACGCTTGCCGTATGAGGCCATGTTTCATCATGCAGAAAAACTCACTGAATCTGTCTATTAGGCATTTTCTGTGGTAGGACCTGGTCTAGACGGTGCAGTTGGATTGATTACGGTATGGCTGACCATCGCCTACTTGTACAGCAATTTTCAGTGCAGAACCTCCTGCCCGTCCCCCGAATAGTCTTGTTCAGGGACACCCTACTCAGCCCCTAATCTTTTGTAGCAATCCAATACTTTTTCTTATGTTGATGTGGGAGCGCCATGTTCCACAGTCGACAGAAAAGTCTGTGCAAAAGCTCTTCTTTTCATGAGAAAAAATCCGCAAATACCGAAATTGCTCCTTTTTGCCTTTTAAGATTGCCTTTCATCTTTGGAAGCTACCACATTTGAGTGAATCAGTTTTTCACCGGAATCAGTAGACATATTTTAAAGAGCACAATCAGCCTTTTCTAATGAAATACGCATCTTGCCGCAAATCAACCGCTCCACAAAGATATAAGGACGAAAATGAAAACGCTACGAATTTATGGAACGGCCTAATATAACAGATCCGAAGCCGTGCTTTGTATGTTACGATTGACAATCTTAGTAGAAAAAAAAGTAGTAATGACGACATATAAGAAAACCCTCAGCAGAGCATCTTGAGTTTAGCGGAAAAAACTGTGTGAATGTAGTTTCAAGCCATCCGCTTAATCAACATGTTTAAAGCGCACCATTTGTGCAGCTCACCAAAGTTAGTTTTTCAGCGTTGAGAGTCAACAGCTTCCTTGAAGTGGCCTAGATATGTAGAATTCTATCCTATGATAACAGACACTCCAAGGTGGAGTTTCACATCGCTTTACTTACATTACCTGTATCACCTACATCACAGCTGATCGACGTGTACACAAAGCGGGTACTAGTAATGCCTCTATACGTCTCTGTCGCACACATTTGTTGACAGCGAAATCCTCTAAAGGACTTGAAAAGGATCAAAATCGCGTTGGCGTCTTCCTCGTTTGCATCTGCAGTGGTATCCAAACGGCTTACGCTATCCTTTGTTTAGCGTAAACGTCAACGCGATTTTAATCCTATCATGCGGTTAGCGTCGCTTATCCTCAACTGTCACCTGGGATGCTTTCCTTCCAAGGTATGCGTGAGTCAATTCACACCTAACATCCTTCTCTCAAGATGCTGCTGGCTGCAGGCTGATGACGCTAACCCCATGCCCACCCTGCCTCCTCATTGTCCATGTATCCGCATCAAAGCAGGAAGGATCATCGAATTGCAGAGGTAGACGCGAAGCCTGTTGTTAGACTTTTTTACTACGTCCTCAGTAGTCTTGTACGCTGCCCATAATGCTTATTTCTTCCTGTCCGGTTTCGAGCTAGTACTGATTTCATACTGATTCCCCAACTTGCGTAAGTATAGCATGAGCGTTGTGTAATATTCGTTCCGTGCATGCGGGGAGCATCGAGCACTTTTTCTTTCCACAAACATCTTCTTCGCTAGGTTCAGCCATAGACCCTCTTACACAAGTTAAAACTAGAATAGCATTCGCTCGCATGCGTGATGCTTGATGTTATCAATAGCGCATGACGTCTCGGGGAGGGCTAAATAGCTTAAGATACACTTTGCTCGCATAGTTGTATTTCGTCCCACTTTCGATCTTGTTGTGAACTCGTGTGAGGAGTTTGTAGATTAAGACAGCAGGCCGGTGGGTAGACATAAGTAACAATGTCTTAGAGACCTTCCTTTTTGTTCAACAACGCGGGCGATGCACTTTTCTTATCGATATGATAGTATGAAGAATCCCGGAAAAAAGAACTGACGGTGCGGCATATGTGTTTTTTAGCGCGGATTTTGAAAATGTGCTTTGAAACAAACATTAGAATTGTTTACAGCGAAGAGGAAATGATGTGACACCAAAACTGGAGCGTACATGCGCAATAGGAAGCTGCAACGATGTATGAATATCTATGAAAAAGTCATGTGAGCAGGTGTGGCAAACTATTTTTGGAATTAGGTGGCTTTAGAGCATGGCTCATTCTTAAAATCGTGACGATGAAGCTGACTGCGGTCTTTGCGCACACAGGAGCATAAAACACCCATACAAAAGGCATCAACTTAATGTTCAGCACAGTGACTTTCAATGTCTAAGTACTAACACATGTAAGCAGAAAAACTATCTTAGTAGAGATAGCAACCAAGAAATGGATGTGCGTGCGTGTCGCGCGCGGTCGCGCCATCGTCACGATTTCTCGAATGCCCTATACTTTATCATTCACATACCTTTAATTCACATCAAAAACCCTTCGAACGATTTTCTTTTTCACCAAACAACCTCTTCCCGCCTAGTTACAGTCCTCCAAAATTTTGTATGGAGGCGGCAATTCTGCTCCAACGCGATAGTGCTCGCCGGGCACACTATGCCACCACTTCGAAAACATGAATGTCTTCGGTTGTTTCGTCGTCTACTCATGAGTACGTCATAAGAGATGCTCTAGCTAGGCGCCTTTGCCTCTATGGCGAAGTCTACGGGGACTTCGTTCAGAAAACTGAAAAAGCCACCCCATGCCGAGCCCTGTCTACACGAAAAAACGCCTCATTAGACTTCCGACATTGTTTATTCCTAGTCTAGGCGCAAGGTACCGAGAATTAATCCAAAATAGATTCACCAACTTTTGGTCCACCGTGGAGTCACCGGTCAGCACAGATGCGACGGACATCATTGATGCTGCTCAATGAGTCGACTGTGTACACTGTACGGGTTTAGGTCACTTGGTGACATAAGGAGCAAGAGATAAACCTGACTGATTGCTACGTGTTCATTTTTGTTGTTTATACTCGAATTCCCGGCGATCCACGCGGCCTCTAACATTCAATGCACCAATCTCAACCTAGTGCGCTAGGTACACTTCGCGTGAGCTGCTATCATTATGTGCCTCAATTTTATGTTTGCCAAACGGTGATGACAAGATTTCTTGTCTTTTATCAAACTGGCCTTCACTCTAACACTTAGAATTTGCCCAGTCTCTCTTTCATGCATTAGGCCACAATTCAAGGATTCCAGCTAATTTACGATATACTCATTAGAACTCAAGTTTTTCGTAAGATCCATTGCAATTTTCTAATATACATTCTACACAGTTTGTTTCTGATCAACCGCCTTTTAGTCTAGTACTAGGAATGTAGGCCAGAATTCATTCTGCAGCTGCGCTCGTGCTATATCCTCCGATCATTGGGAATGACGGGTACTGGGTGGAGCTCGGGTTCCGCGCGGCTGCCTCGCTTGGGCTCTACCTCTTCTGTGTGCTGCTCTCTGATCACTTCCCCACCACGGCATGGGGAAGGCGGAGTTTTAATCGCTAATTAAGCGTGTAAATGATTAGAGATCATGTTCGCGCCAGGCAAGGTGGTCGCGCGCCACTCGGGCTCCACGCTCCCGTCACTCTCAATGATACATAGGGCACATCGGTTTACTGCTTTACTGGAACTACCTCTGACGAATGGCATACAAATAGGGATATGTTGTTCTCATTGTTACTGCTTCGCATGAGATTCATGAGTTTGCCCATGAGTTTGCGATTCGTCTACACATTCGCTGCCGAGATTGCGCACTTACTTAGCCGTTATGAGCAATTTCGGATGTTAGCTGTCGAGACTCTAACGTTTTGCTTTCGCCCGTGCCCACTTCTACAGCAGTCTCACACATACTGCGCATAGTAGAAGGATTTACGGGTGTAGAATGCGCTAAGGTTGCGCGGACAAGTATATATTGGAGCTTTCCTTTCGGCTATTTGACTTAAACAGTACCGTCAGATAAGCTTGTATGAGGTGCCCGACAAAGCCGATTACTGTACGAAGTTTCTCATGCAAGGATGTACCCCTGACTTGGAATCTTGGAGCACTCCTCCATTTTGGATTGTGTCGACGTAATACAGTCGTCGATGTAGCGTCAGTACATTATTGGTAAGCGCGCAATAGAGGCTCCTCAGTCCCACTAACGTAACAGATAGCGAAAATGGGACAAGTCTTTGATCCATTGCAAGTCTCCTAGTTTGAAAATAGGAATTACCAGACCGATTGAAAGTTACAAACAAGCATCTCTCCTGAGGAGCAGTAAGCACACTTTGAGCTAAAGGTTACCATGGTGGAACTATTCATTCATTACTTGCAAAAGAGCTTGTAAAGCGGCATTGTTTTGAACATTATTGTATAACGACGTAAGATTCAACAACACAACCAGGTTCAAAACTCATGCTCCATAGCTACCGTGAAAACTGCTGAGTGTTGGACAAATGCACAGGTATTCTGGAGAGCTGGCCTACAATCTTGCTCGGGAACCAAGTTTTTCGATCAATATTTGCTTACGCAGCTTATTATCGGGCAATATGGGACTGCGGGCATCGACAGTAGTGCTGTCTATGTCCACAGTTTACTGCTAATTTGTGAGTCTTAATCAGATGGTAAAAAACTGAATATTTTGGATTATCTAATTTTTGAATGTTGAGTTCATCCAAAAATTGGGCTTCCTATAGTGCGCCTGACGCTCGCGTTTAGAGCGGGTCGATAAATCGCAGTACCCGAGAAATGCAGTTTTGCAATTTCTAAATTAGCGATTATGGCATCATCATTAATTAACAGCCTCTGTAACTTGTACAGGGTGTCCCAAAATATGCCTACTATTTGATTGTTAAAAGCGGCGTTCCACCAGACTGGGAATACCTGCCTCTGGTAATAATGTAATAGTAGACCCCCTAACCAAGCGACGACAGAAGTTTGCAGCGCGAAAGGGGATTTACGAAGTCTACAAATTGCCCTCAAGTGGCACGAATCTTACGCTAGGCTCAGGCGAGTACGAAATGCATGCAAGATAGAGACACAGAATCGTTGCGGGACCCTGCGCTCATGGCTGTGAGCACTATGCGTGCTCTGACCCATTCTGGCCTTGCAAATCGATATTGCGGTGTGGGCGGCGTCCGGGCTTACCGTAAGATTCGGGCCACCTTCGCAGCAAATTTCAGGCTTGGTAGACCCCCCTCCTTCGCTCCGAACTTCAGTCTTTGCTTAAGTAGGGTCTACTTTAATTCGCCACAAAAACGCGGCACCCACCTTTTTGCCGGGACGCTGCCTTTGATAACTTTCTCGTAATGAAGTTTTTTCAAGAAGCTTTGAGTACCATTTTGTAGAGCTGGCTTCAACTTTGATTTGCAGTACAGAGCGAATCGCTCTTCATTACTGTAGGATTACCGTAGAAACTTCAACTATGGAGTCATTGCAAAAAAAGCTGCCGTTTCAAAAATTTTCAAAAAATGTGCAAACTTGTGTATTAGGTTTCCTTGGACTCTGAGTTCAATACACAACTATGTACAATATTGCGAAGCTTTCTAAGCGGTGTAACCGCACTTTTTGAAGACATTGAAAGAACGCTACTGCTTACCTCGCAAAACTTCAAGCTGTTTTGTTTCCTTTCTGAGAAAAAACATGGCCTTTCATGGCTTAAAACCTTTTTAGAAGTTTCTATCGTAATCCTACAGAGATTAAAAGAGATGTGCAATTCGTTCTTTACTGTTAATCTAAGTCAAACCTAGCTCTACAAAACGGTAGCTAAAGCTTCTCGGTAGATTTCATTATAAGAGTAATTAACAACCAAACAGTGGTCACGTTTTTTTGGGACACCCTGTGGAATTCGGATCGACTTTAGTCCCATAAATTACGCACTTCTTCAAAAACCTTCCACTGCGCTCGCGTCAAGGTGGTATGAATTCGCTTGAATGTATCAATGTGCACAATTTCAGTCGTAAAAATGCGAATTTCGTGTCGATGGTAAGCCCTGGCTCGAACTCTCTGCGGAAAGATCGACTAAACGGTGCAGATGGTATCAATTGTTTTCTCATTGCCAACATATTCTGGGTTCTCTCTCGTCTAGCTTCAAATCTCAAAAGATTTCGCAGCCAGTATATGTTACCAACTATTGTACGGCACTTGATAGTATTAATATTTTGTGAAGGTAAAAAAGAGGACCGAGCTTAAAAAATTAAACTGCATGAGCTGAATGAATATTACCGACAACGTTGACTCTTATATCAAGCCATTTGGACCGATATTTTAGTAAAACAGTTTTATAACAGTAACGGCTCTCTATTTATTCAGTAAAAAAATAAAACTTGGCATGTGGGAGGTGATGACTGATCTCGTTTAGATTCGGAACAGTAAAATAAGGCATTCCCTTCCGTTAACAGTGATGTGGTCAATCTCGTTATGGTGCTCTCTCTCCACCGGGCGATTCCAGGGTGGGATCCCATGTAGAGTAGGAAATAGGGGCTTTTGGAGTTTCCATGGATGGTCTTTGATATCATGGGAAATTCGAAGAGTCTTTTGGGTGTAGTACATGAATCCCGATATGGAGCTCCGCAATCGGCCTTCTAGTTCGCGACCTTCGCATTGAAACCAATAAAGGTAATCTTGTAGAAATGTGGTTTCTTTTGTTCAGGAAGGGTAAATATTTTGCCCAGATTGAAACATCATTCAATGGCTTAAGAAGAGTTTATCGTATTTGTGATTGAGGTGTTTCAATATCAAAAAGAGGCCCAACATGTTTTGAAGAAAAACTTCAGAGAGTATGCTGGGAGTATTGACTCTCAATCGTACACAAAGAACAGAGTATAAAGGAAGCCTCCTTTTCATTTTAATTTATCACTGCGACTTCCAATTCTAGTACTTGCCGCAAGGAACTGTGCACATCAGAGTCGAAATGGAAAAGCTTCTAAATTCCAGGTTCTCTCTTCTCTGAATCTGGGCATTTTATGTCGTAATTCGATGTATAGATGTTCTGCCGTTTGCATGTTAGGTCAACAAAGGTTTGCCGTATTAATGGAGTGCGTGGCTGAAGCCCACTTTTGATCGAGAAATTCCCCCCCTCCTCCCTCCCCCGAACAGAAATCATGGGGCCACCACTAATTTCTATGAATTGCTATCAATTACACTCATGCATATGAGAAGAACAGCAGATTATACAGTTTTGCTGTTACACAGGTGCCTTCGTTAGACTAGACTGAGTGCATTTTTTGTGATCAACGCGCTTGCTTCTCATTACATAATCATTTTAAATCCCAGCATATGTACTCGGATGGTTAAAGGGTTGATTGGAACTCCTGACTAAAAAAGCTCCAAACTTACAGGAATAGTTCTCTCCTTGGTACCTTGTCGTATAGATTCCTTTTATCAGACATATAGAATACGTTGTGCTGATTCTTTGAAAAGAATGCAAGCCACCATCCAAACGTCGAGGTTGTTGCAGTAATCAGAAATGAAGTGCACAACTGAGATGCCGCATATAAATCCACAGGAACAGAAAAGTTAGACACATATACTGTCTGTAATCAAAATTCATTAACTTGAAAAGCTGTCTCTAACAATGCAAAAAAGGACAGTCTGTCAGTTGACTAACTCAGACAGTCGAAAGGATACCTCCTGAGCGAAAATGAGAGGGTCCCGGGCTCTGCCCAGCGGGGTTCTGCCACTCGTGCTTAGGAGCCCTCCCACTTCACCCATTTTGGTGCTCCGGGGCTCCTCCAAATCTGGCGCACCCCGGAGCAGAGATTTGCGAGTTTCGGGGAGGGGTCCCATCCGCCTGCTTGTGACGTCACCGTGGCGCCAGATTTGGAGGAGCCTCGGAGCACCAAAATGGGTGAAATGGGAGGGGTCCGGAGCACGAAGTGGCAGACCCCCGCCATTTGTCCTCCGGAGGTATCCCTTCGGCTGTCTGAGAAGGAGCACGTGTAATAATCGCCGAGGAGAGGAGCCCAACTTGAAAATCTATTAGGTTGAATCATTAGCAATGCACGTTTTCGTTCCCTCTTGTTTCAAGCGCTGGTTTTTCAAGAAATTGATTGAAGAAAGAAAAAAAGAAACCCAGCGCTGAACAAGCGTTTCTATTAGCTTCTTGTGTATGCTTCCTTTTTCATGGGTTCTGTATGACTTTCAAATAAAGACCAAAATTTGAGAATCTTCTCTTTTACTCTTCTCAATTCCATGTCAATAAACCAAGTTAATTTCAAAAATATGAGTAGCAATGGCGAAGATTTCTGCTGTCAAAGTCTTTCTAAGACAAGTAAATCTTGAGAAGTTCCAAGAGTTTTACAAACTTGATCGGTCATTGTGGCCTCGCGTGAAACTGCGAAATTTTGAAGTAAGAATCAATTGCTGGGTTGCTTTGTATTTACAACAAGAATAGACATAGTACACCGAACGATACAAAAAAGGTGAAAATCTTCAGCTTTTCAGAGGCGATAAAATCGAATTCTCAAAAAAATAACCTTTCGCTGTTTCCAAAAAGCCAGAAAAAGTGATCACTTTAGATTTTTGCCGTATCTTCTCGTCGAAAAATATCGTATTCAGGTTTCCACTGCTCTCTTGACCATTGGCTACACAGTGAGCAACGTTTGCGCTACCCTCGTACGTTTAAGAGTAAGTTATGCTTTCGCAAAATAGAGTTTTATAAGAAAAACCATGGCAGTCTTACTATTAGGTTGGCTAATAAATAAGTTCGGTCGCTTTTTCAGCTCTTACAAATGCTGTAGACAAATTTTTGTCCAATGTTTGGTATCTCTGAAAAGAGCACTTCACTGGGTATTGGAGTATATACTCTATCTGAGTAAAACTTATCTTCGCAGGAAAAAAAACCGCAAATAATTGAAAAATCGCAGATTTCCCATAATGCGCAAATATGAGGAAATTTGGTTTTCTAAGTGAAACATTTTCAAAGTGGCAGATCACAGTTCTTTTTGTTGTTCACTAAATAGGGATAACTCTTCTGTATCCAAACACCAAACTGCTGTTCTTTACATCCATTACAGCATAAAAACGAAGCTCAAGAAGTCAAAGAATTGAGCTTTTGGAAATTTCGCCACGTTGAGGCATAACTGTCTTTACTGACGATAGAAAATCCTGATTATTTGATGTGGGATAGAGGAGGCTTCGAGCTATTTTCCTCTAAAGAATCATAGATAGAAAACAACAAGAAAATTTTTTATGACAATTTGTATGCCAAAACGAACTTACTTTTTAGCCAACCTAATATTATACAAACTTTATCGTAAACTAGCTGGCTTACCCGGCTCCGCCGTATGTTCCGAATAGAAAATTCCATTTCTTAACCGATCCGGACCAAACTTGGCACACATACCCTTCGGCCCCCGGCGGGTGTCAGTCCACTTTTCGTTATCGATCAATGACGACTTTATCGATTTTTTGCAAAATTTGAGCTAGGGGGCTGTGCCAAATCCCAGCCCCGTAGCTCAAACTTTGCAAAAAATCGATAAAATCGATAAAAGTAATGCACGATTTTAAAAACTAATTTTGTATTCGGAATCCCCATGCTCACTTACCCCCCTGTGCCAACTCCCAGCCCCGTAGCTCAAATTTTGCAAAAAATCGATAAAATCGATATCGATCGATACGAAAAGTAGCCTATGACACCCGCCGGGGCCCGAAGTGTATGTGTGCCAAGTTTGGTCCCGATCGGTTCAGAAATGGAATTTTCTATTCGGAACATACGTACAGACAGACAGACAGACAGACAGACATACAGACAGACAGACAAACAGACTTTCAGCTTTATATATAAGATATAGGCAAACAAAACCCAGAACTACTGGGGTCGGAGTTTCCCATTTTGTTTTCATTTTTCGTCATTTCCGTAAGAAAACTATCGCAAGCGCACGTATGGATAAGTGCATGTGTGCTACATGCAGGAGCAAGTGAGAGGCTTGTAGGGCATTTACTGTAGACTGTAAACAGTATTACTCTGAAAAAGCTCACTTTTAAATAAGGTAATCACATTTGAAAATCATACTTTAGACACTGGAAAATATTAGAAAATGTGATACGTAATGGTTGTAGAGCTTGTAGAGGTGATTTGGCATGCTAATTACAAGAATCACTCTCGATTTACACAGCAAGCTTCTTTCATGACCTACGGTATAGTGATGTAAGAGATAAAGACTTGGAATTTAGCTGTGTGTGCTGTTCACGACACTCACTCCTTCAGTTCTGGAATGATATCCACGAAAGTCCCCCGCGAAATGGGCTTTTCGTGCGAATAAAATGGACTTAGTCCATGCGGTGCGATAAGATATCGCATTCGCGAATCCATTCATTCTATACAAAAATGCTTAAGCAAATCTCTCTCCAACTTGTCTTAACCTGTTTGCTCTATACTTGGGTAATTCGATAATTTTTCATCGAATGAATGAATATCGAATAAATTAAAAGGAAAAATTTTGAATAAACGAATATCGAATAAATTCGGAAAATCAAAAATATCGAATGAATGAATTTCGAATAAGTTCGGAAAATCAAAAATATCGAATGAATGAATTTCGAATATATTCGAACATTGGAAGTCGAATTTCGAATAAATATTCGAATGATTTATCGAATAACTAAAGCAATCACATCTCAAACTTGCCTACATATCTGGCTAAAGCCGATCCAATCATAATCAGCCCCCTAGTATCCCCTATACCAACTCCTAGCTCAAAATTTTCCAAAAATTGCTGAAATCAATAATATAGATTTCGGTTTTAATCAGCACCCTCACTTACCCCTTTGTACTAACTCCCAACCTCGTAGCTCAAGATTTTCCAAAAATCGATAAAATCGCCAATTCCCAACCTCGTAGCTCAAGATTTTCCAAATATCGATAAAATCGATAAAGTAAATTTTTATCCATAATCAGCACCCTTACTTACCCCCTTGTATCAACTCCCAGCTCCGCAGTTCAAACTTCTCCAAAAATCGATAAAGTAAGTTTCCATCCATAAACCATGAAGGTGCACCAGCCAGCTTTAAGCGGTCGCACGCGTCGTGTAAGCGGCTGCACTTCGTGATCCTTGCGCGTTATGCACCGTACGGGTAAGAACCGCATACACTTTGATCCTGCGGCTTTGTTCGACAGCAGACCTTATTTGTCAGATTTCCACTAGATTTCAAAGACGTTTAGCAAAGTAAAGATAAAATTGGCTGGAGCTAAAATCTAAAAATGAGAAACATTGCAACTTGGTGTAAGCACCTAACGAGCTGTTCGGATTCATAGCGCTAGGTGTGCGATCTTTTGAAGCAATAAGGTGGCCACATATGTACTTGAATTCCACAAATGGTACGATACATTGCCTGTTCATCGGAGACTTTCGTCTTGTGTGGTATAAGCTAGTCGTGGACGAAGGCATGTGGTTTCCTCCGCGAAGCGAGCACAAATGCCCTATAACCCCAGGCATACTGCAGGCATTTCAGTGGCGACGTGGTATGGCACTCAAATTGTCCAAAACCTATTCCGACAGTACAGAATGCAGGGCATTTATCTTTTTAGTATGTTGTGCAAGCTAAACATTTTTGGTAAGCTGCCATTACATCTAAGGACATCTCGTAACTGGCAAATCGCCTACGGCGATTTAAACCGTCTAATCCTGCACTACAACTGCGATGTCCTTTACTCAATATACACCAATTCGCGAAAAACTCCAAGGTAACGAATACGCAGTTTTGCAATAATTTATGCGAGCAAGAGTGCTCACTAGTGTGGGCTTTGCGTACCGCAAGCATGAGCAATGCAAAGAAAGAAGAACAGCCATTTCAATTCAATATGAACTCAGAACATGAGCTTGAATTTGATATCTTCTTTGCTGATTTGGTGCCAATAGCAGTGCGAACAACCTCCTTGATCGAAAAAACATCAATTAAAATCCACATATGATTTTTTTACTGTCGCAAGCAGTCGGAAGAATGCAATTTTTTATACAGTTCAAAGGTATACCGGTTGCAAAAGATGCATTACCGGCTTTGCGAAAAAAAAAACGCGGACGAAGTGAGCTTGATACTCAGCATTTGGCTCTGCAACAAAGTCGAATAATCTGATTACGGAGTACATTCGAATACGAATTCGAATAAACATTCGAATAAAACATTCGAATAAAATCTATTCGAAATCCCGTTTTTGATTATCCGAGTTTTCGAATAATATTCGAAACCTCGTTTTTTGATTATTCGAGTTTTCGAATTTTATTCGAAACCCTGTTTTTTGATTACTCGAGTTTCGAATTTTATTCGAATCCCCGTTTTCTCAATTATTCGAGTTTCGAATATTATTCGGAAATGGAAGAACTCCGAATATCGAATTTCGAATACGAATATATTCGAATGTTTTATTCGAATGATCGAATTTCTATTCGATTCGGACCCAAGTATAGTTTGCTCACTCTTCCAAACTCATTTCCATCAAGTGGTCGATATCTGACTAAACTGACCTAACATTACAATACCAGTTACGTTGATATTCTTTTATTTCCCATTTTGTTACACCCCTTAAAATGCATTT